TCCAAGACCTTTTCCTCCTTTGCCACGTCCAGACATGTTATAAGTCCAGTAGTACTGTTCTGATGAACTGATCATGCGTAATTGCCTAATTTATAGTCCAAATTGAGGACCCGTGAGAGCGCACGATGCTTTGAAAAGTTCGGAACGTTACCAAAGCGGTATTGTGACAAGCTTTACGATTGGTCAGCTTGGCATGATGGGAATGTTTACATTTCTTGCCCCACGGGAATTTTAACCACATTTAATTAATTTTGATTCTTTAATTTCTTCACATATAGGCAAGTTTAGGTTCAATTTATTCACCTAAACCAAAATATTGGTACGTGGAGGTACATATATACATTTTATACAAACTGATATACAAAAAAAAAAAAAAAAAACATGACAGAAAATGAATAAAAATGATAAAGAGAGAGAGGGGAATTATATCAAGCAGGACAGACAGCATCATAATTTTTTAGGATAAACATACACAATTTTTTGTTTTGTTGTTGTTATTTTTTTATTTCAGTATTTTTTGCTTTGAGTTTAACAAAATAAATACCGTTGTTGCCGAATGATAATAAAAACGTGTGTGGGTGGGTGGGTGGGGATTAAGTTATTCAAAGGAAAGGGGTGTGACAGATAACACCGAAATAATACAAAATGTAGAAGCTGAATGAAACTTTTGATTCTCATTCATTTATGATATCTAGTTATAGATGTGATAATTTATTTGATTTCCTCTTTTCTCAGTTAATTTTCAAAGGCAACTTTAAGCAGTGACCAAACCGGCTTTATAAATGAGCCTTTTTCATTTTATTACACGCCACGTTAGAATGAATATCGTTATATTTGACGTTGTTTAGAAATCAATAAAAATCATACTTTGAATATAAATGAAATACGGAATTGCAGTTCTGAAATGCATGTACTCGCATATGTGCATAGCTGTAGAACTAATGAGATAAAGTTGTAATACTGTTATTATTTTTTGCTTCGACACATTCCATCATTTTCTATTTAAATAATTGTGCTATTTTCTAATTTATTTCGCAAAATTCTTGAATGTATTCTAGAGGGGCAGGTTGATGGACTTGTACAAAATATAGTTTCAAGATGTGTAGACAACTTCTACAACTTGATGATGACAATAATACTATGAAATTGTCTAGCATTGTGCTATGTAATTATATATATGTAAGGCACAGATATATTCACTGAAGGATGTACTGTGTCTCAACATTTTTTTTTTTTTTTTTTTTTTTCAATTTGGGGGCATTGTACGCCGAATTTGACAAAATTTATTAATTTCGGCCAAATAATTCAACATTATTTTCAGAGATGTTTCAACGTCTGAACAGAAGGCATCTTTTCGAAGAATGTAGGTGGCCGTGAAAACGGCCGTTTGCTTTAGGACTTGAAATACAGCTTAAAATTAAGCACGCTCTCCACGAATACGTCTGGCCAGCTGGATGTCTTTGGGCATGATGGTTACTCTCTTGGCGTGAATGGCGCACAGGTTGGTGTCCTCAAAGAGACCAACAAGGTAAGCTTCGCTTGCTTCCTGTAAAGCCATGACAGCTGAACTCTGGAAACGCAAGTCGGTCTTAAAATCCTGAGCGATTTCCCGGACCAAGCGCTGGAATGGCAGCTTCCTGATGAGAAGCTCAGTGCTCTTCTGGTATCTCCGAATTTCACGGAGGGCGACAGTTCCTGGCCTGTATCTATGCGGTTTCTTAACGCCACCCGTGGCTGGTGCGCTTTTACGAGCAGCTTTGGTAGCGAGCTGTTTTCTGGGGGCCTTGCCTCCTGTAGATTTTCGTGCCGTCTGCTTGGTACGTGCCATGCTATCTCCTCAGATTATTCAAACTCGAATGAATGAAGTGGCAGTGTTGCACCGTGAACTTATATATCTTTGTAAGCTCAAGTTGAAAATCGCTGCGGTCTACCAGTCGGCTTAGTCGATTGGCTGGTGCCCGCAGTAACACTCGCTACGATTAGTCAGGTGAACGAGATGACCATTGGCTACGTCTGTAGGTAGTTTCAATCCACAGAATTGCCCCAAAAGAAAAAGAAAATCAAGTCGGTTTTTGACACATGATTTCACTGCAGATACATATAGTCAAATATTTTTTTTAAAAATATATATATGGTGAATAATGGGGATGAATGTAACGTCAATTGAATAGAAAATAGAATTATTTATTATATATATACATATATTTTCAATTCGTTATTGAAGCAAAATGCATTTTCGAAAAATATATATTATATATTTCTTGTCATTATTTCCTCCTACCATTATCTGAACAAGCCCAGTAATATTACTAAGTATCATGATACTTGCAGATAATCAGAATGGTGCATATAGGATGAACAGGAATTACCCTGTTGCAAAAACAAGAACAAAACAAATAATACAAATAAATGAATAATTAATTAAATGAATGAATAATTAAATAAATGAATGAATGAATGAATGAATAAATGAAAAGAATAAATAAATGAAAAGAATAAGAATGTATGTATCTGTCTTTCAAAAGGTACGCATGAACTTTTATTCCATTCGTTCCACATTTGATTCCAAATAAAGTGGGGAAAAAAAAAGAAAAAAAGAAAAAGAAAAATAATAATAATAATAATAATAAATAAATAAATAAAATAAATGAATGAATAAAATAAAATAAAATAAAATAAAAAAAATTAATAATAATAATAAAACTTCAACAACAAAAAAAAACAACAAAAAACAAAAAAAAAAAAAAAAAACCAAACCAAAACAAAACAAAACAAAACAAAACAAAAAAAAAAAAAAAAAAAAAAAAAAAAAAAAAAACATGAAAACAAATATACTAGAATGATAACACTAATAATAATGGCCATATAGTTAGCGTAGGCGTTGTGATGTGGAAAAAGTAAAATTTTATTTACTTGAGGGAGGGTATGTAAACAAATTAAAAACTGACTTTTGTTTCTTCTTCTTCTCAGAAACAGCATGTTAATATTATCATGACTTTGCAATTTGCTTCCAGTCGAAGACAAATAAACTATGTGTAATAGGTAAGTGTACTTCTTGTTTATTCATTTTGTGTTTCCATTAGTACATGTATGTAATAGAGGCATCTTTTCTAAAAATGTTGGTAGCCCTGAAAAGGGCTTTTGTAATTGGTTTAAGACAATTGGCAGTCTACGCCTTGGTGGCTTTCTTTGGGGTTTTTGACTTCTTGGCTGTGGCTTTCTTGGGCGCTTTGGTTTTCGTAGGCTTTGGAGCTGCCTTGGCTTTCTTGGGAGACTTAGTAGCTGCTTTCTTCTTGGGAGACTTGGCCTTCTTGGGTGCTGCAGGTTTCTTAACAGCCTTTTTCTTTTCTGTTGGCTTTTTCTCCCCGGTTGTCTTCTTGGGTTTGGTCGTTTTCTTGGGCTTGGCAGCCTTAGGTTTGGTGACTTTTTTGGTCTTGGGTTTCTTCTCCGTCTTGGGCTTCTCTCCCAGCTTGAAGGAACCACTGGCACCTGTACCCTTGGCCTGTTTGAGAACTCCCTTCTTGACTCCGTTCTTGAGGGCCATCTTCAGATGGGTGTTGACACTAGAGGCGTCATTACCGACTTTGTAGTTGCCCATGATGTACTTGAGAATAGCTTGTCTCGAGGAACCTCCGCGCTCCTTCAGGGCAGCCACAGCAGCGCTGGATCATCTCGATGTACTTGGGATGGGCGGGGACCGTCTTGGGTTTGGAAACCTTCTTCTTGGCGGGGGATTTTGCTGGTGCGGCGTCTGCCATAATTTTTTTGTCCTGTTTTCTACAACTGATGTGAACGACGTTATCGACGATAAGGAAATGAATGAAATCACCTCCGCCGATGGCCTTATTTGAGTGGCGGCGAGCGCGGACCTCCGTGAAAACTCCCCAATTGTCGAGAGCGTAGAGGATTGAACTCGTCAAACTTTGTGTTTCAATACCTGTTATTTTTCCGATTTTGTCCTCCCAATTTTACTTAATTTTCTCAAATATGTCACTGTGCGTTTTCTTGAAATAATTTCCTACATAACTGTTTTTGTTTAAGGTTCTTAATCTGTCATTTTAAAGGAGGAATTGTCTGTTGATTCTGAAAATGCGCTGTTCCCTGGAGCCCAGAAGCGACTAATTTTGATTAAAACACGAAAACAAGAGGAATAGAACACGAGTAAGGGATTGAAGTACTTACTACATTGCTATGTGATAAAACATACATGTACATTTCTTTCAATTGTCTTCTATGTTACTTAAAATCCGAATGAAAATGCAAACATTCGGCACAAACACGCGCACAATGGATAGTGATGTGTGCCTTGCATTTCATATGAAATGGAGAGAGAGAGAAAAAAAAACAATCAAACAAAAGGGTCATATGAAGGGAAATCACGGAATCTCACAAATTGTTGAATGTTCAAATATATATCTAATATACTTTCTAGATCAGTGGATGTTCACCCCCTTAAAGGGACAACATATAATTTCTTTTCGAATATTTAAATACATGACACCTACTTTATAATTATAACACCGAGGACACCGGAAAGATCCAGACCGTACGTAACGTACCACATTCGGTGGTACAACGTCTGAATTTCTCAGTATAATTATATCATAAGAATATACATAACTGACATCCTTGTAAATTACATGAAAAAAAAAAATCACATAAAAAGGGCGTGTATTTAATAATTGTAGAACACTCACTTAATTAGTAGTTATACATAAGAGAGAGACAGAGAGAGACGAACAAGGCGAATAATGGGAGTAGCTTATTCATTGATATTAATTTGTTTCTTGTAATTTACACACACAAATAATTGAGTACATGTAAATAAACAGAATGTGGTCAAAAGCCAATGTATTTAAAATCTATATCTTTCAAGTTGAACAAGACAACCAGTATATAATACAAGACAATACAATACATTGATAGAAGCATCAAATTGGTTGCACACTTTCCACGTGCAGATCATGATTCCCTGCATCTATATGTCACGTGACGATGCAGATGTGCTGCACGGCGCAGTGATGGACATCGCAATAAATGTAAAGTGTTGAAAAAAATGTCGTTTAGTCATTCGCATCGGTAGTCTATTCGAAAGAAAATTTACTACCAGTTTTTAATTGTGTTAGTACTGTAAGTATCCGGAAACTGGCATCGAGTTGCTTTTATTCACTCTTATTATGGGAAGCACACTTTTTTGAATAAGAACATTCAAGACATAATATAAACCACATCTTCTTATTCTTATGAGATTCTTATATTCATAACTTTTATCTATTTTTATCAATTAGGAATTTTGTCTAAATAATCATCATATAAAACAATAGCGAGGGGGAAAAAAAGAAACATTAAGGATTTAACTGGAGTTACAGATCTTTTGAATATGTTAATAAAATAATGATCATATTTAAAAATATTTGTATCAAAGGAAAAAAATTGAAAGTTAGATCGCCATGTTAGATGATTTTCGCAGTTTCTAGTCTTAATTGGTCAATGAAATGGGTTTTTTTTTTTCTTATCTCTTTGTTGAGTGAGCATTCAAGTAATACGTGAGAATTCAACATTTGTACGCAGGCCTATAAGGTTTGGATTCAACTGCCTATAACGAGAAAGAAAAAAACGTACATATACGAATATACATGCGAGTCAATTTTAAAATTTATTGCTTTTGTTATTAACTTAATACATTTATTTATCATTAAATATATAACACTTTCTTTGATGTTTGATCTCTGTTCTGTGTTGAAAATTATTGAATTCGTGTGTTTCTATTATTTTCTAGCTATAATAATTGTTTACGTTTCAACTCGTTTGTAATGTAGGTATCTTTTCGAAAAGCTTATGTGGCCGTGAAAACGGCCGTTTGGTTTTGTGCTGCACACAACACAACTATAGGATCTTTTTACTTGGCGGCTTTCTGTGTCTTTTTGGGAAGGAGCACCGCTTGGATGTTGGGCAGGACACCACCCTGCGCGATGGTCACGCCGGACAGGAGTTTGTTCAATTCTTCGTCGTTGCGGATGGCCAGCTGCAGATGACGGGGAATGATTCTGGTCTTTTTGTTGTCGCGGGCAGCGTTGCCTGCCAACTCCAAGACTTCTGCGGCCAAGTACTCAAGAACGGCAGCCAAGTACACGGGAGCGCCTGCTCCCACTCTCTCGGCGTAGTTGCCCTTTCTCAGCAGACGGTGAATACGACCCACGGGGAACTGCAGTCCGGCGCGGGAAGAACGGCTCTTGGCCTTCCCCTTCACTTTGCCTCCTTTGCCACGTCCAGACATTCTTAACGGTTATGTTCTTTCGTGTACAGTCAACGAATAATCCAGCGACGCCCGCACGCACCAATTTAAACAACCAAGCGGATCCAACGGTGCAGCCAATTAACGCGTCGCTCTGTTGTGCCTTTAGGTGAAATCCGAACAAGTAATGTTTTCTCGGAGGTCCGTAACAAGCTTCTCCTCCTACTCGCATATAAATAGTAAATTTTACCATTTTACTTTATTCATCTCTTCAGTTTGACCTGTCAACTTGAGATCATGCCACCCAAAGTCGGATCCAAAGGCGCCAAGAAAGCAGTCACCAAGGCCAAGACACCGAGGAGCACAGACAAGAAAAGGAGGAAGAGGAGGAGGGAATCTTATGCCATTTACATCTACAAAGTCCTAAAGCAGGTGCACCCTGACACTGGTGTTTCCAGCAAGGCCATGAGCATAATGAACTCCTTCGTCAACGATATCTTTGAGAGAATCGCTGCCGAAGCCTCTCGTTTGGCCCACTACAACAAGCGATCTACAATCACAAGCAGAGAGGTCCAGACTGCTGTCCGTCTCCTTCTGCCCGGTGAACTGGCCAAGCACGCCGTATCTGAGGGCACCAAAGCCGTCACCAAGTACACCAGCAGCAAATAATCTCATTTTGCAAGTACACACACCAAACGGCCCTTTTAAGGGCCAACTAATTTTTAAGAAAAGATACCTTCATATTACATGCGTTATTGAGACACAAATAATATGTGTGAGTGTTACAATGTGAATGCATGTGCTCGTAAAAGTGGCAAACGTATAAAAATCCCACATTGTTTACAACTGATTATAATAACAGAAGTAGGATAAATAAAGAAATACAAGTAGGTATTATTATATGTATGAGAGCCAAATTTTATTCACAAATAACTTGAATGTACAACCAAGCATATATCTAAAATAACTGTATCTTCAAATATAAATAAAATACAAGCATGCGAGGTCCATCTGATGTACACAAAATCCTGGTTCATTTGTCCTCTGTATACTGAATTAATTATCAGCGTACATTATATAATTGATAATAAAGTATCTCAATTCAGCTAATATCAATGAAACAGATAAATAAATTCAAGACCCCCCCCCCCTCCCCTTTCTTTGACATTGACATATTGGAATTTTCAATCAGTAATTATACATCAATAAAAGTGCAATGACCAAAATGCGATAATTATACATTGACAATTAATTGTCTAACATTAGTCATAATTGTTAAACAAGAAAAAAAAAGCATGTCACTCAGCGCCAGTTGGTACCTGTCATTGTCGGTAGATCGATCCCTCAAAATAATACTCAAGACAGCAGCATTATTATTTTAATATATGATTATAATAATAAAAAAAATTAAATAATATATACTGTTTGTGTGTGTTTATTCAATATTTCTTGTCCAAACCTAAATTCAATACATATTTGTTGCTCTGTATATAGTTTTGAGGAAATATTACGACATAAAGGGTCTTACTCTGTTATTGTTGTGTATTTATTTTACCACTTACAACCATTCTGTATTCAACTTTGTACAGTGAATATCTGTATAACAAGTACTCAGTAAGTAAATGTCTGTCTTAACGATGTTTAAGAGGCATCTTTTCGAAAAATTTGGGTGGCCGTGATAACGGCCGTTTGTGTTTGTTTTAAACTTCTGTCTTGACTGTCAAACTGAATTCTTTAGCCTCCAAATCCGTACAGGGTGCGTCCTTGGCGTTTCAAGGCGTAGACCACGTCCATAGCTGTGACGGTCTTTCTCTTGGCATGCTCCGTGTAGGTTACAGCATCTCGGATCACGTTCTCCAAGAAAACCTTAAGAACTCCACGAGTTTCCTCGTAGATGAGACCGGAAATACGTTTGACACCACCACGGCGAGCAAGACGGCGTATGGCTGGCTTGGTGATACCCTGGATGTTGTCTCTCAAGACTTTTCTGTGTCGCTTAGCGCCTCCTTTTCCAAGACCTTTTCCTCCTTTGCCACGTCCAGACATGTTATAAGTTCAGCCAGTAGTACTGTTCTGATGAACTGATCATGCGTAATTGCCTAATTTATAGTCCAAATTGAGGACCCGTGAGAGCGCACGATGCTTTGAAAAGTTCGGAACGTTACCAAAGCGGTATTGTGACAAGCTTTACGATTGGTCAGCTTGGCATGATGGGAATGTTTACATTTCTTGCCCCACGGGAATTTTAACCACATTTAATTAATTTTGATTCTTTAATTTCTTCACATATAGGCCAGTTTAGGTTCAATTTATTCACCTAAACCAAAATATTGGTACGTGGAGGTACATATATACATTTTATA